TATATAAACCATGCAATAGCAATAACAGTAAATGTGTTATTGCTATTATTTCTGTTAGTTTTTGTTGTTGTTATACTTGATGTTCTTTTCAAATTTTAAAGAATTGTTCACATTTTTTCCTTTTAGGCATTTTAAACACCAGTGATTTTTTTAAAATAATTTTGACATGTTTTCTTTTTAATCACCTTACAGCACAACACTTTTTATTCTTTCCTTTTAAGTTACGCTCACACTGCAGTTAAACGTGGCCTAAAACAGATGGTTTTTGCATCTATGCAACATATCAGATTTTTTACAAAGCAATGCTTTTATCGTACGTAACATCACTGAGGTACCTGTAAGTGGCTCTATCCATATATTTATAAAGGTACAAATCTTACCTGATGCAGTTTCAAGCACAGACCTCCACACGTCTTCAGCTGCTTCATATTTTCATTTCCCAGTGAAGATATTTATAGTTATTATAGATTAGTACTGATGTTAGAAAACAACACCAGAGTATTAGGGTTTCCTTATTTTATAATTCTTGTATAATGTTTGATCTATTATGTGTTAACTGAAATAGAGTAGATACATGTCTGAATTATAACAACACATAAGTGAACTGTTTTAAAACCATTAGAGTGAGGATTTTGTCTGAATGCCTGTGATTCAGTCGTAGGCCAGTAGGGGGCGAACTCAGGCATTGAAGAAGGTGTATAAAAACATGCACTTCCTGTTTTTCATCCAGTGTGGTTTCGTTTGTCAGCCGGTGACAAATAAACCTCACTCAAATCCAGAATTCTGGTGTTGTATGACATTCATTCCTATCACAGATCAATTTATTTAACATTTGTGTTTTCATCTGACTTCAGCCGATATTAAACACGTATTTCTTACACCAGGATGACTAAGAACAGCAGATGCAGCAACTGCAACAGATGATGCTAAGTTAGTGTCAGACTGTGTCAGTGCTAATGGGTTGGGATTGATATTGAGTTTATGTTACGCTCATTGCTCTGTTTTGAAAATAAAATGCTGCACCGGAGAATCCGATTGCATAAGAACTTCAAAATCACACACACTAGCACATGGAGAATGTGTGGTTACTTCCTCAAACAAAGTCCGCTGCGTGAGACGTCACTTCTTCCGCGCATAACGGACCGCCTCTGAAATTTTCATAAATGGTTCATGCTGAAGTCAAATTTTAATTTTAATGTGATACACCACACAAAAAAGAACAATGGGCCTCATGCAAGAACCGTTCGTACGCACAGATTTGTTCTTAAGTTGTGCGTACGAGTGATTTAGGAGAATTTGTGGCATT